AGAAGAGAGAAAGAAGAGAGAGAGAGAGAGAGAGGAAAAAATGCGAAGGAGGGAGGGTCGATTCCTCTTCATTGTCCGAATCTTGTCGAAAATCGAATCTCGCCGGCGAAATTTCAATTATCCGAGGACGACTTGTCCCGCTCGCGAGGATGACTGGAAAAATCGCGAGGACTTAACGTTAAAAGCGATTCTTAATCGGTTCCTCCGATTGCTCCGAACCCAACTTGCGATTCCACAACGAGCGATCACTCCGGCCATTTACGGCAATCTTATAGATAACATATGTTATAATTAAAGAAATGTACATATGTGTGCGTCCGTTATCTGCTCGGAACCTCAAGTCCGGCTTATGAAATGTCTTTATCTTGAATCGCGCGTAACGCGGGAAGTATAACGATCTCTAGACGTCTTAATTAAAGGAGAAATTGCTACAAAAATTCGTCGCAAAATCCCCCAAGATTCTCGATTACTCTATACTTTACGGGATGTAATTTTTAACAGCGTCATTTAACGGGAGCGATTACATTGCTCGTCCTTTTTGTAAAATGTAAAACTTGAATGTCGCGCTCGCGACAAGGGGTTATCCTCGAGTGGCCTTCGAAGAAAATGTAGAAGAGAGGAAGTTGTAAACTTACCCTTATGCGTCGTCGCGTGATAAGCCCGCGCTGGCATCGGTTGCTCGGGGGTACTGGGGGTGGCGGTGACGTAAGGGCCCCCGCCACCCCCTGTGAATAACGAGTACAGCGATCCGTAGCGATTCACACCTGTAACATCATCGTCGAAATATCAAAGAATTAATGATTAATTCAAGTCAAATAATTCATGAGATCTCTTATTAAGGATTAGGGTTGCGAATAATATACGCTTCTGAAAAAAATGCATTGACAGATAAACAGGACATTAACTATTATACTTGTCTCAAGCATTTCGAAAAAACGGGGAAAATCCCAGATCTTCTTTCTTTACTTCGCAGACGCAGTTCTAGCTGTTATAAAGTGAAGAATGGAACGAGATCCAATATTTTGCTTCTTCGTATCTTTTCCTTCTTTTGTAATACGTGAATCAACATATGCGATACTAGAATATATTATATACCGATCTGTCTCTTGCATCGTATGGTTAAAATGTTTTATTTTCCTGGATTAAATCATATTTTTTCGTATCGACTGGTAACACCGGTCAATGCAATTTTGTTGGATATAAAATTTTTAGTATTTTCCGCGTATCTTTTTTTCATCGGATTCAAAAATGTATAATCAAAATTTTTATATCACTCTTGATTTTCGTGTGACGCTCAAACGTCCCGTATACAAGATTTAATATGGAATTATTAAACACAATGCGTCACAATGCAGCTCGTATCCGCATTTCATCGCAGTTCGTAATATCTCGAAACTGGACTTATTTGCAAAACAAACAGCTCGTGTTTACGGGTTAGTTTTGTAAAAGCGTAAATAATTATGAAATACAACTTGTCCAGTTTTTCAGCGGACGGTAATCAATCGTCTAGGCAAATACATCGATAAACGCTGCAAAAAATGCAGTTCATATATAATTATGTTATAACTAAACCGTAATACCGAATTATAAACGCTAACTTGGGGGGGAAGAGGGAAGGGAAAAAAAGAAATAAATTCTTGTTCCGTTTGGGAAACTGATCGAGCGAAAGCCTCGCGTTTTCATATCTTTAAAAGCATCGTGTGGGAGACAAAAGACAAAAACGATCATTGCCGAAAACCCAGGATTGAACCGGGGACATTTAGATCTTCAGTCTAACGCTACGTCCCAACTGAGCTATTTCGGCGCGCGAGGAGTCTCTCATGCAGCCCGAATTCGTGATATCGAGTTGATAAAGCGTGATAAGCGTATTACACGTCAAGCGTGAACGACCTCTGATCAATAGTGAATATTACATAACATATACTGGATGTATCAGGAAAAACAGGGCGACACTCTTGTCACCGAACGTGACAATCTTTCCTCAACAAAAAATTCAATTGAACATTTTTTTTGCATTTTTTTTTTTGCATTTTGAATATTCGATATTAAGTATCTTTCGAAGGAAGGATTTAAGAATTCTGAGGCTGGAAATCAAGATTTGTCCATCCAGCGTTTTTGACATAAAGTAACCTTGCGATCACGGCTGTCCGGTCGTTATTTTAGCGAAAGAAAGATCGTTGGTGGACTCGATCGACAGCACCGCAATATATTTGGGACGAATACTCTTGATACTTGGACTCTCTCGAATCCTTTCGGAGCCCAGTTCAATTTCCGATCGTTGCCGCCGCTGCGAGATAATAATGATGATTGATACGTATAATGTAATGCGAACCTTGATTGTGAGCGGGCGCAGGCGTAGCGGCCAGAGGTGGTATGCCCTGGGACTGTTGATTGGGAACCTGATTGGGCTGCGCAGGTGCTAAAGGCCATAGGGTCGTCGTAGCGGCAGCGGGGCCGGTTGTCTGCTGAGCCCGTGCCACCGTGTCCCCCACGGGACGATCCCCGGTCCCACCTTGGGCCACGGGAGGGACCAACATCGAACCACCCCCTCCCGAGGCTGCAATCAGAGCATCGGAAAAAAAACACACGACATTAATCTCAATTTTAGGCAAATGTGCGCGCGAGCAAGGCCCGCGCCGAGGCCGAGGCCGAGCGACGTTCAATTTCAATCGTCAATTCTCGGGTCGAGTCGAGGAAAGTTAAAGAGTCAAGTCTTTCTTAAAATTTTTGAAAGCATCATTGCCGTTTTCATTTCGCTCTCATTTTGCTCTCATTGTATGCTCGATTTTAAATGTCTTGATAAAAGAAAGTATAGTAAGAACCTGAGTCGAAAAGGAAAATCGATTCACGAAGTTGTTCACGAATAGGATATCATTGTTGCTTTGATAAATAATTGAAAAAAGGTAAAAAAGATTACATTCCATTAATATTACGATCTGCACCGAAAGAACGATTTTGCCGAAGTATATAAGAATTTGATCGATAATTTTATTGGGCTATCAAAATTATTGCGTAGACTTAAATATGATGATAATATTAAAAATTTTGATATTCTAGCAACCAATTTAAATATCCTACGTAAGTATTTTGGATGGATGGACAAAATTATTTTCAGATCTGTATCCGACCAAATTTTCAGATATTTCAGCAAAAGTGTTCTTTCCGTGCGCTGTTTCGGATCACCCTGTAGATAGACCCGTCGCAGACGTCTGTGCCTATAAATCTTCGTTTAGAGTTCGCGTTTAGCATCGACGCAATGTACAAACGAGAAATTGCTTATACTTTCAAATCAGTCGAGTCGAAAGTATCGATGCCACAATATCATCCGTATATCAATGCCATACTAGTCATCATAATATCTTCAACATTTCGTATGAAAGTCGACTTTGAGGAAAAGAAAGGTTGACGAGCTTAAAAAAAATATCGAGAAAAAATACAGAGAGAAGAGGAGGAAAGGGAATATGGGGGAAAACGGAGGGACGGAATATGCAGATTGCGGGATTGACGAGGTAGTCGAAAGAGAGAAACGGCGGGGCGAGACGGTAGTAAAACGGGGAGGAGTCCGAAATAAAGAATATAGAACGACTTCGATGAGCCGAGCGAGAAGGTACATGAGTAGAGGCGCACACGAGACCAGGAGGGTTTCGTTTCGTAACGGCGGGTGGATTAGGTCGGAAGGAACAGTAGAAGGGTGCAAGGTAGGAAAGGGTAGCAACAGGTCGGCAAGCATAATGTAGTCTCTTAGATATACAGGGTGACGCGCCTAAGGGTGTACGCGCGGGGGCAGTCGATATATCCTGTCTCGAAGCTATCGATTTAATCCCTTTTTAACCCTTTTTTTCGCGATTTTTCAATATTACAATTTATCGACAAGGATATCTCGTTTGTTAAGGTTTCCGAATTAACCGCCGTGTAAATTTTAGATCGTTCGACACGGAAAGAATAATCTGCTGGCGAATCTAAAAATTTGGTCGGATACAGATCTGAAAATAATTCTGATGTATCATCAAAATTATTTAGGACGCTTAAACGTTTAATGATAATAATACTGCCAAAATTTTTGATCTTTCACCAATCAATTTGAACGTCGTAATACATAATTTTAAAGATCCAACAAAATTATTCTCAGGCCAAATTTTTAGATTTGCCAGCAAAACTATTCTTTCCGTGCACTATCTACCGACAGTTCCTAAAGTACGTTTATACACGCCAGTCGGGAGCGGGAGGATCAAATTAATTAAGACATAAATAACGGAAAGAGACTTTAGCTTTACGCTCGGAGCATTAGAAGTATAAACGGTTGAGCTGAAAGAATTCCACGAGAAGAAAACCCAGTGGCGCAAGATCTAGATCGATCGGGGCCGCATCGTTCACGTCGAGCGCCTCTCATTAATTTCAGGTTAATGAATCTGTACCCACAGGGAATTACAGGTTTTCGGGATAAAAGTTACGCCGAGTTACGTACGTGGTGTAAGTGAGGAAAAAAACGCGGATTAATATGTGCGGAGCTGGAATTTACCGCATCGGGGGCGAAATTAAAAGTCCGTCGCTTTCCAGTTTGGTTCAAGATTAATTTCCGGTTACGCCCACCGCCGTAACAACGAACAAGTAAGGCGACAACGAGGAGGCAACGAGTTAGCGCGAGCTAACTCGCGTAAGCCGCTTCCATCCCAGGAAAACAATTCCGCGGCGTTACAACGCGGCGAGAGCCGCGCGTTGTTAACAAAGTTAATCGCGATCCTTGACGCGCCCTCGCGTGCGCTCGGTCATGCGTGCACGCGCGCTTACGCGCACAGGCGCTTACTTACGCGCACTCGGAATCGCGGCGGAGGCGCGCTCGCCCTCGTTGCCGCGCGTGCACGCGTGCAGTAACGCGGCCGCGACCGCCAATAACCTGTCAATCCGCAGGTATACACCGTGTCGGAGGAATACACGTGGCGCGCGCGCGCGCGCGCCCGCCCGCCCGCTCGCCGATAGTCGCACGACTGCGAATTATTATGATCGGTCGCCTCTCTTTCACGAGCCTCCTCATACGCGCGAAAGAATATTTCAGCGCGTATTTCGAAGTTTGAAGTTCCATTTCGGACGAGCGAACTGGCTCGTCGCATATACGCGGTGTCCGAGACGCGCGTACAGCGACGTACAGCGGGGACGCGGGTGTGTTGTCTATCTCGTCTATCTCCCGGACTTCCGAAGACTTACGTACGAGTAAATCATTAAACGAAAGTGTCGATGATACGATGACGCGGGATATAATTGACGCGGCAATCTTCTCCTCCGAGCCGGAAACGGTCATAGGTGGAAATTACTTTTCTGAACGGAGATTGCCTCAGGCTTCTCACCTTGAGTCTGTTCTATATATGTATAGAGTTTTTTTTCTCTTTTTTTAGTAAAAGCATACGGAGGGATTTATTTTTTTTTTTTTTAGTTATATAAACGATCAAAGTTGAAAGGCGCGCTATACAGGGATTAGGCTTTGAAACGTACGAATACGCGATCGGAATCATATTAAACATTTCTGGGAAATCGAAAACAAATGGATCAAATGAAAAACGATCCTTTGAACTCTTTATTGGACGCTTTCTGACGTAAGCCTCTGAAAACTTCGCTCGTATGCTCGAGCGCGCTCCGCGCGTGGAAACCCGGCCGCGTGTTTTACAAACACCCCGTACGTACGTGTCGGCGTGCGATAAATAAATGGCGGTGACGAAAAAGTCAGTGCGCGAGGCACGGAGATGGACGGGAGGAGACGGGGTTCCAAAGGAGGCGAGGTCCCGACAACGGCCTAATTTTTCATTTCCATCGCTCCCGCCGCCGGCGGCGGAGTGGCCGGGGGCCGCGGCAGGGGAATGGGAAGTGCGAGAGGGTGGTGGGAGAGAGAGCAGGGAGAACAGGTTTCCAGGTCGATAGGGTACCCCCTTATGCGGGGCCCTACGAGCTATCTACCTGACGACGTGAGCCCTCTACGCGGAGGGAAAAATGGTGAACAGGTGCTCGTAAAAATCTGACACCTTCGACTTTTCTCGCGCTCCCTCTCTCCCTCCTCCGGTCCTCCCGTTCGGTGAGACGAGAATTACGGGGTCGGGATTATCGCAAGCTTCCTCCTTGGCGACTCCGATTACGCCGTAATCAGCGGGGATCTTGCTTTTTAACTTCCGCTTCGTTTGACAACCGCGTAGCTCGAGTAACATCGCTGTACGCGCCACAGACAGTGAAACTTAATTCTGTTATCATTAATTGATGGCCGGCGGATGTAATGATGTTGGTGATTATATAAAGCTTCGTATGAAAGAAGAAGATTATGTATCGTAAGTAATTGTTTTTTTTTTTTTATTTTAAAAAAGTGACGATTTTATGATTTTTCCTTCTACGTCTTCTTCTTTCTGCCCCGTACGAAAGGGATCCGTGATTAAAAATCTGTGGACGCGAAGATCGAATATTCCTGAAGAATCGTCCTTCTTCGTACCTTCCCCTGCTTAATTCCGAGATAGAGATTATTCTTTCTCCCCTGATATCTATCTCTTCGCTATCGAAGGGATACGCACGTTCTTTCTATTCACGTTCTTCTATTTTCTCGGAACTTCTCTATCTTCCCTCGATTATTATTCATCGGTCACGTTGAAGTTCTCTCGCAATCGCGTCGGCGACCGCGCTGAGAATGATCGATAAGCGATCGCCAAGCCGACGCCTACCACGATATCCGTCGGTCCGTCAAATTTTACCCTCGTGACAACGCAGATGAGGGTTAAGGAGTCGTCGTTCTCTCTTCCTTTCTCTCTTCCTCATGTGTACGCGAGTCAGGGGTCGTGCACACTTTGCTTCGCCATCGGTGGGTCGATATATGCAGCCTAGGCGACGGGGAAGAGGGTGGCCGGGATTCCCGCGCGCGCCACCCCTCTTCCCCCACACGACATGATGGGGGCGACCGAGCCGAGCCGGCTGTCATTTCCACACACAGCCCCACGCTATTTCGAGGGCCGAAATTTCCGATCTCTAACAACGCACCGCGTGGAAGATGCCATTTTTCCTCGGAAAGATCAACAGAGTGGACTTTAATTCCATCGTTTTTCTTCTTCTTTTTTTTTTTTTTTTCTTAAGAAATTGATCGATATAAAGAAACTGCACTTGGGAAGCAGAGCTGCAGTGCAACAGCAGTTTGATCCATTTTCTTAGCAATTCAAGGACATTAACCTCCGCCTTAAAGGGATGAATTTTCGGCGATTTTTCGCAACGCCGCTACGCCGAATCTCTGCTTTGCGTCTAAAAATTATTCTGACGTGATTAGAAACGTGCTCGAGACAGCCGACAACGTTCGTCGCGTTCGTGGTTATAAACCAAGGTCCGAGGGGCCGAGTCCTAAAGGCCTTCTTTAAGCCTCTTCAGCGAAGGCCCGAGAGGAGAAGGCTCAGTTCGAGAGGACAGGTTCTCCGTCCTTCTTCGGTGCCTTTCCCGCCTGTTTCACCTACGCGCTCCGGCTCCTTCGTCGGTCCTTCTCTCGACCTACGGATCTCGCGTTCGCTGATAGTGCTCGCTCACTGCCAGAACACCTGGCCGGCCGAGCAAGCCGAATCGAACAAAACCTCTCGAACACGCACCGAGGAATTTTTCAGCGCCGTACATTTTCTGAGCTTGTATTTTGTTTCTGTTATGAGATAACGAAGCTTGTCGAAGGCCATTACGTAGATTCGAGGTATCTTCCCGATACTTTTAACTTCCGCTTGACGCTCAAGGATGAAGCTCGAGGAGCCCGGGGATTTCGTTGTTACGAATCGCAAATTTGACGAAACGTAATGAATGGTAAATCGGAAAATTCTCCTAGTCGTAAACAAAATGAGAACCTCGAGCTGAAGAAACTGGGGAGAGGAGCAGACCGAAAAGAGAGAGAAGCGGCGATCTCCGAAGAAGGCAGAAAATGCACCGTCGAAGGAAGACAGGAAGCTAAGGAAAGAGACCGTGATAGTATAGGAGAAGGAACAGGGGGACTAAAGGGGGAGGGGACCGAAGGACGAAGAGACGAAGGAGGAAGAAGCGACGCAGCAAGAGCCAGGCAGAGGGAGGACAGAGGGGAGGACGGCGAAAGACGAAAAGAGAAGAAAGAAACTCTGGCTTAGAAGATAGCCAGAAAGAGATAGAGGGAGGAACTCTCTTCGA